TTGTTAACTAGGAATTCAAAGAAGGAATACTACAGAAGTCCTCAAGGATCAGTTGGATCATCGATGTTAAATTGCAAGTGAACTTTTGCGAACAATGCATGTTCATCAGCACACCAGTGAAAACTAGCCACTAGGATGAATCATATAACAGGGGATGGTTATTCAGTATGTTAGACCATTTCAAATTGAGTAGTGTGGAAAACTGTTTGACGGGAAGATGGCTTTCAATTTTAATGCTACTTGGTAGGACCTGTGCACTAAATAATTTTGAATTCAAAATTAAATGATGATATAGTATAGGTAAACTGAAATACACCTAGGGGAGCACCACAGGTGGTACGTGCTTATTTCCCAGGTTAAATGTCCATTACAGAAATGTAAGAATAGAACTTGTGCACTGTGGTAGAGCATAATTCCACTATGAGTAAAATGTGTTTTGATTAAGTTTCACGGTGTTATACAGTAATATTTACTGATGACGTTTCAAACAGAATTTAATACTGTTCATAATCATATCAAGTTAAGTTACACAATTTTCTGACTTCGTTTGTATAATTTCATTATTTTTCATCGCTTGGTTTGATTGGTAATCGTACTTTCCATATTTCCGGTATGAGCGATAAGTAATTCCTATTGTACATGTTGGGTGTAGATTCTGTGAACAAAGATTCAGCAGTCAACCTTACTCTCTCCACCTACCTATATAACTTTTTAGAATAGGTATTCTGTCCCACCCTACTGTATGGTTGTGAGTTAATGAGTGCAGTGCAATTTAGCGCTGAGCTGTTTTTTAAATTACTTATCTTTGTAGGGTTAATAAGTCTACATTTAGCTAAATTCTTATGCTCCAACAACCTGACTAACCCGGACCTGCTAGTTTGACCTATGTAGTTGGCTCAACTCGTAGTCATTACAACTTATTTTTTGAATTATATTATTTTGTCTAACTGGGTCAACAGGGTGCTTGTTAAGGAACTTAACCTTAAGTTCCCATTATTTGCGAAGACGCTTCGAATCGACAACTACTAGGTATGATTATCGACTTTAATTATAAAACACAAGAACTTGTAATAAGAAAATATATTCTTCAGCAGTTAAATTCGATATTTCATACAGAATTTTTATTCATATTCTTTCGTCTTCTTCAAACCTGTACACGAGTGAACCATTCGCGCTTTCGAGTTTCCCATCAATTGCGACCAAGGCCAATGAACCAGCGTTCAGTGTTCACGTTCATTTACAGTCCTTTAACCTACAGAGCTTGTCTGTGAGTGAGTTTGTAGGTCTAAATGCCGCCCTAATTCCTGCTTTGTTGGGGATCTTATGTAGGGTCTCAGATGTCCTCTCCTTATATCGTATAACAGTAAATGACTTATATTCTCTCTTATTTGCGTTATCATTATTAGTTTAACCATTATTTCTACTTTGCTTCTGACCATTTTTGATCTTCCGAATGAATTTTACAGGATAGTTAGTTATTTAACACCGACGCTTCTTTTTCTATCTATTTCCCTTCATCATTTAGGCTTTTTGTTGTGCTACTTAGTGCTACTGCTCGGTTTGTAAGACACTTAACTAAGCATGCCTTAATAGTTAACGGATGAGATGAATTAAAGTCTAAATATTTATTAGAACGCGTTGGCCTTTCATAAACGCTAGTGTGCAATTTACCTTCTTCTATTCGTTTTATTCTACAATCAAACATAGCTGATTCTATTTGTTCATTTTCCGATTCAAATGTGAATTTTATTCCCTCTACTGGGGAGTCTGTATGTATCAGCAAGCTAGAGATATGTTCTTTTTTTAACACTGTGAAAATGTCATCCACATATCTCCACCATATTTTGGAGTAGGATTAAATGTATTGAGAGCAACATTTTCCCAGATATTCATAAATAAAGCTGCTACAATAGGGGACATTGGTGATCCCACTGCAACCCCTTCTGTTTGTCCACTGCAGGAATGCTGTCACAAAATGTCAAACTTAAGGCCATTTATATTCCCTTAGAATGATAAAAGTTTGATACATTACTACTTTTGTTGTCATAAACATTTGTCATAACGCATCATGATGGCTAGCCACCTAGCATGGTAGTCACATTGCAAATTTCACCGATAGAATTCAGTCTGCTCCAAAGAAAGTACTAGACACATCACACTAGCTACTAGTGTCCAATCAAAAATATCCAATACAGTCCTGAAGGAGGCCAATTGCAAGCCCAAATAGCTCAGTGGCGACGTTTCTGAGCGCAGCACTGGGTGGCGGGGTTTCGAATCTCAGAAAGGACATGAGTTCCTTCACGGTTGGAGATGTACGGCTTGCTGACGAGTTTCAGCTAGCACAAAACCTAGGTCAAAAGCTTCGTACCGACTGCCTCCAACCACCTAATATATAGTCTTATATTCTCTAACCGACCAGTGAGCGTGTGATTTTTGTTTACATTAAACAACGTGAAATAGAATGTTCAAATACATATAGTATGCTGTTGCTAAGCAGGAATGAACTGTGGGAATATGTGAGAATAATATTCCATTGGAACAAATTGTCTGTATCACACCACCACACTGGTGACAAATCTTATCAGTAGCACATGTCACTACGCGGTACTGAAACCGTATTCAGCTAAACTAGATGCACGAAAAGGTAGCCCAGGTGTCAAACAGGCCGCCTCTTTCAGACGAAATCAACTTCGTCAAATATGAAGATGACCTGACTGTTTCGCTTCCCGTTAAGTCTCAGTCTGACTGTTTCAAATTAAATAGCTTCCTGTCGGACATCAGTCAGTGGTCTAAACTAAATGACCTCACGCTGAATCCCTCAAAATGCCAAACTATTGACTTCTCCTTTAGGCATAAACAAGATCTACAAACACTAGTAAGCACTCATGAAACCTGTAGCATTGAGGAGACTAAAACCGAAACTAAGTCTAATGCAAAATACCTCGGACTAGTTCTATCTTCCGACCTTACTTAGTCATCTCATATCCAAACGATTTCTAAGAAAATGTTCCATCTAACCTGCTACATTAAGAAACTCAGACTAACTGGAATCACTCAACCTCTGCTTTCACAATTTGTCAACTCTCGCATCTTACCTATTCTACTTTACTGCTCTCCATTAGTCTTTCCTGGGTTACTGAAAAAGGACTATACCATCCTGAGAAGGATGTTGAAGGTAGTTAGTAGGACTAGCGGTGTAAAACTCAGTCAGCTCGTCACTTCATTAGTAGAAAGGCATCTGAATACATGCGACAAATGGGCTAAAACCCCCAACACCCCCTCTATTCCCAACTCTCTCCTTGCATCTCATCACGTAGAACCAGAAATCACTACAAAATAATATATGCTTGTACATCCAAGTATAGGAACTCAACGATACCATATTTGGCCGTGTTCTAAGTGACAGAGACAATGTTAAGCGCGAAACCTATGACTTGCTTTGTTGTTATCAACATAAATTTGGCCCTTTCATTTCTCCCTTATTCTCTCTTATTTGTATTCTATAGTGAACAACCTTCTTAAACATACTTTGCTACCTAAAATTATTATCACTGGCTTACTTTCTTATCCTTTATTCTATTCCTTCTTTTGTGTATCTACTGGGTCCGACTATATTATCACTATGAGTATTACAAAATTGTCTTGTCATTAACCATCATGTAATATGAGTTTTGTGATGATTTTTTGTTCAGCGATATTAAACTGACAATCTCGATCGTGAACGCCGTTATCACCATCCTAAAATTTTTGTATTATGCGGGATTCCTCACACTACCACTACAAACACCGCATTAGTTCTGACAATAAAAAAACACAACCTGAAATGTTTATTTTATGATTGTTTAGTGTTGTTCAATCAAATTAACTGATCATCTTGGCTACAAACATTCTTAAGAACATCTCATAACTTCTTGTATGATTACAGCTGTTGCTGTTCACCACGCATACACATATCATAGCTTCCACTGCCAAATACTGAAATATTATTCATTATTGGTGTTTATCTTCCTTTCTACTTGGTAGTTTTTTTTTTGTATTTTTTTGCTGTTGTTATTTTTGCTTTTTGTTGTTGTTTATATATTTATCTTTTGTAATACTCCTTTTAAATTTACGATGAAATTAGATGCGATATTGTAGATATGTGCTGAAAATTCCACACTGTACCACAAGTATTGTTTCAGGAATAAAGCAAATTATTATTAAACTATTGAAGAGTTGTTTCCACATGTAATTTATAAAAAGGAACCTTGAATTTCGTGAATTGGCAGAAGTTGGGTTTCATAGGCCATTGAATCGGTCCCCCGTGGCTTAGTGTTCAACGAAGTCGCCTTGTAACCAGAAGGTCCTGGGTTCGAACCTCGGAGAGTGCATACTGATGAAGAGTCCCAAACTAGGACGAAACAGCTGTCCAGTATTCCCTGGCGGGTTTTCCAATGGTTCTCAAACCAATGCCAGCTCATGATGAAATCCTGTAACCAATCAATCAAATCTCTACAAACCAATACTTGAATTGTAATTTAAAATACTCATTAATGAAATACATGAGAAATTCATCATTGTGTATGAGATTTATCTGCGTTTATATAGAAAGATTCAGTGAAACACATATTGAACACGCATTGAATATAACTACTTAGCATAATTCATTACACTGTCCGTTGCTTACATCCATTTCTATTCAATTGGTCATAAATTTCTGTTTTTAATTCATTCAAGAAATGAGTTAATCACTGTATAATGGTGAACAGATTTCACAGGAGAGGTAACCTATTTTTGTCTTTCGTCTCATCTTGATTAACATTAACTTTGAGTAATGAAGCCATTAGTATTATTATTAGTGGTAAACGTAAAGAAAGAGGGTAGTGATAAACACGTTACCGACTTTCACTATCATACTGTCTAGCGAAGAAATACAGCACTCTACACGCATTTGATTGGTCAGATGATCCACTCAACAAACACATAAATTGAGTCAGTAAACATATGCTAGGGTAAACAATCGTTCTAATTCAAAATGCAATTATTCCAATGGTTCATTTTAGTCAGCATTTGTTTAATAAACAGTTATGCAAATGCAAATAGAGATTGGACTATAGAAGATTCTGAACTGTTGGCGTTACATAATGCCTACCGACAGGGTGTAAAGTATGGTAAAGTCCAAAATCAACCACCTGCAATGGACATACCAAATCTTGTAAGTTTACACATATATGTATACACATAAACCTGTACATGATATTCATCATCAGTTTCATAATCCTTTTCAAATGAAACTCATCATCAATTATGTTGTAATCTTTCCTTTCAGATGTGGTCTTACGAACTGGTTAACATTTCTAAGAGTTGGGCGACAACATGTCAACCGTATCCAAGTAAAATTACAATGAGTGGTGATGGTGAGGCAGGATGGATTAGTGTTGGTCAAAATGTAGCTGCTGTTCCAAACGTTAGAGAGTAAGTTATCTCATATGAACATTATATCAGTTGTAGGAATAGATTTAAGCTTTAAATCTAAAAAATATATCTACTGTAGGTGAATTGGTCAATGGTTTCCTAAGCAAACGGTAAACCACAATGAACAACAAGTGCATTAGTGTGCCTTCTACAGAACCAGATATTGGCAGAACTCAAAAACTTCACAGTGTTATACAGTAATATTTACTAATGACGTTTCGAGCACAATTTAATGCTCATAATCATGTCAACTTCATATAATTATGAACAACAATAAATTGTGCTCGAAACCTCATCAGTAAGTGTTATTGTATAATAATATGAGACTTTATCAAAATAAACTTTACACAGAATTAAATTACACTCTACCACAGTTCTATTCTTAGAACTCAGAAACTATTATGTATAAAAGTGTGTGACAATATGCCACTGTATCTGAGGGACACAGATATTGAATGCATAAAAATAGCTCAGTCAAGTCGTCTATTCAAAACTGTCAACAACCAATTCAGTAGAATTAGATTCGTCAAATCAAGAAGAACAAAATTTGTAGTATAAAATGTGCACAGTCTACTCCGAGGCTTCTCTTCAACTTCAGACAGCCTAAAATAGAAGTAGTATTAAGAAAACAAGGATATATATCTTTGCGTTATATTGATGACAGATGTTTCACATGAAGATCATAGTTTTAGGGAGAAAACAACAGACGAACCGGGATGACATAATCACTTGAGAATAACACAAAGGGAGAGTGATTACAAGCCTGACTGTTAGAATTCAGTCTGCAAAGAACTTAGTACTAGACACATTACACTGGTTACTGACTAGTGTGCACTCAAAAATATCCAACACAGTCCTACAAGAGGTCAGTCGCGAGCCTGAATAGCTCAGTGGTAACGTCTCTCACTGCAGAACTCACTGGATGACACGGGTTCGAATCTCAGAATGGACATGAGTTCCTTCAAGGTTGCAGACTCGCCTTGCTGACAGACTGGCGAGTGCCAAACTAGCACGAAACCTAAGTCCTAGGCTTCCTGCCGATTGCCTCCAACCACCTAATACCAACAAAGGAGAGTGATTATTTATCCAAAGTTTGGAAGAATACTCGAGAAGTTTTGTCAGCCGGCTTAACAACACAAAACAGTAATGAACTAGCAACATACAGCGAAAAGAGAATACGTAATTATACACAACTAAGCATTTGGAAGTGACTTGGAACCAAGTCAGTTGAAATTAGTTGATCAGACAAAGTATCAAAGTAATAATAATAGTAATTAGAGTAGGAAAAGAATAAAACAAATACGTGATTATGTAACTGGTGAATTAAACCAAATTTTTACCAGAGTAAACGCCCTAAAAATCCAGAGACTGAAAGATTCACATTCGTTGACCGGTGGTGTTGTTGGACATCTAATCGAGTTAGGACACAAAATAGATGTTCAGACTAACTTTACCATTATCAACAAACAAAACCTCAATCTTTATATGCTGTTTGTCCATTGATATTTTGTGTTGTTAAGTCAACTGACAAAACTTCTCGAGTATTCTTCCAAACTTTGGATAAATAGTCTCTCTCCTTTTTGTGTTATTCTCAAGTGATTCTGCCATCACGATTCGTCTACTGTTGTCTCCCTAAAACTATGAACTTCATGCCGAACGCCTATCAATAGAATAGAAAGATATATTAATGAAAACAAAACACGTAGTTTAGCCAAGAATCTCTTTTCAGCGAATTCATTCACTCAGCCGTACGATACCAATTATATATACTTGTTTTTGTTTGTGATTTAACGTCAAAAGATAGCACACTTTTATTAGTAACATTCACATCTTGAATGCAGTCTAAGGGAGTATATGTATAGATGTTTCCTCACCAGTTTCAGAGTATCAGTCAGTCATTTTGCAAAAGAATGATAAGGGCAACCAGACGGAGTGGATGACCAACTTTGTATATCCTCGGTAGGCCAAAAGGCCTTGGTATTATCGGACCCGTCAGTCATAGAGATCGCAGCTAATTAACTGATCGGTTTTCATTCTTTTCAAGGCTCTTCCCTTGTTAGGATGGGTTATTAGTAGTCCTTTGTTGTCTTTGAGCTGTTTTAATTCTCTTTGGTGTTGCTCTGTTAAGTGATTGCAGTTTGGTGCTTTTGTAGTGAGATGCTGGTGGCAGCAATCAATGAATGTTGATTTGAATCGTTGTAGGTCACCGTTAGATGTTGGGACCAGGTCATTCGTTTGGCTAATTAAATTTTCAAGCTGTACATGAATATTAAGTTTGTCAACATTGAGACTGACATTGGAGAATTTTCAGCCAAAAGAGAAGGCTTCTAGCTGCAAGTCAGGAAAAGTTACTGAAGAGAAGTTAAACACATCTTTAGTAGGTTCATCAGAAAATTGACTGTGAGGTTTTTTTGGCTTGAGGCTATTTGTGAGTCGGGTCACAGTGGACTGCGATCCCTCCTTGGCAAGTATGTTAACGCATTCCGTCAATCTCTCACGTTCATCCGGCAGTAATTCGTATAGGATTAAAGATTTTTGGGGAATATTCCGATGGAACTCTGGAACTCGTGATCGAATAAAATCGGCACATTCAATGCATGATGTTTAAGTGACATTGTATTAGGATATATGTGATTCCATCGGAATGCTTTTCAGAACCATTTAGGATATCTGTTATTATTGACACATTCCTCGAAAAAATTAATTTTCGTGTTCACTGCAGAGAGCTTGACAAAGTACCAAAGTAAACCGGTGAGTACCTTGACTATCGAGGATTCCTTGCTGTCTTTCAACTTATTTCCGTACGTGCCAACAAATACACAAATAATTATATGTAATTGAGGTTATACAGCTAAGGGAATGAATTCGCCAAAAATAGACTCGTCGCTGAAGCGAGTGTTTTGTTTTCATTAATGTATGGATGGGGATTATTTATGAGAAAGATATATGTCCTTATTTTCTTAATACTTAATACAATTGAAGTTGTGCGTCGGTGGCACAGCGAGAGAGTGCTAGCCGACCATGGTTGTAGTTTGAAGTGCAATCCCCGGTCGACGCACTCTTCCACTTCTGTAAGCCAGTAACAAGACTGGTAAAGAGGGAAGGTTGGGCATGAGGCTAGCACCCCCATTCTGCAAAAATAATCACCACTGTTACAGATACTTCAAGCCTCTAGCCTGAAGCTCTATGTTCCACTGGAAACGTAAAGGAATGTAAAAACAATTGAAATTATGTTCATTAATTCAAAATTAAATATTTGTCGAGCGATTCTTGATATTTACTTTATGATGTTGGTTTTGGATGACATCATGATGTAATTTGATACAACACCCACGGCTTCAATAAGAGAATAACCCTATTTGCACATTTCATTTCCGCATACTGCAAATATTTTTAGTGACGACATATTGTCATCCTACTGAGCATATTAATTCGAGCATTTCATCAACTCTGAAACGGCTTTCACTCAATATCCGATATTTATGTCCATTTCGTCAAATTATTTCCAAACAAGACTAATGACTTCCAGACTCCCTTTCCTCTCGATAAGATGAATACGTTTCTTCAAGGAAATTTTTATATTCATTTGTTCAATTGTCTCTTAAGCATGGTATTCCTTAAACTGCCATCTGAAAAATGCCGACAGCCGGTGAACACATATCGTCTCAACATTCACTTTTCAACTAGAGGAATTTCTATAAATATTTTTTGCACAAAATAGTTTTCAAAGTCTTTGATGCATACTCATTCATTCGATCAACCTGGCCTGGGTTACTAGTTCATCAGTTAACAAGCCAGTTCTTAGGGCGGAAAAAGGGAGAAGAATGAGCTCTGGGCTAGACATCCTATCAGTGAGTGTCAACCCACTCTCTAAATAAATGGCAACGTACAGAAGTAATATAAAAAATAAACCTATTCTTCGCTTCAATCGGAAAGACAAAATGACGAGGGCTAGTGGAAGCATTTGGGCAGCAAGTCAGACGATAAGTCTTCTTTCAATGGGATCAAAAATAAGCATAGGGATGTGGAACACCTGCAAAAAGTTCAAAGCTGTTGAGGTGGTTCAGATTGCTAAAGAAATGATAAGGTACGGTACAGAAGCGCTCATAATCCGTATTAGCAGATGAAATGGATGTGTGGTCTCCATATTGTAAACTAGACAGTTGATAACCCACTCCGGTAACCCAGACTACAATAATGAGTAAAACAAACAAAGGAGTGGCTATTAAGATGTTGATAACAGCAGTCAAAGTTCTTTTTCACTGAGAAAAAATTTCCTCCAGGATTACAACAGCAAGATACAGCTATTCAATGCTACGAGCCTATGAACAACGCAGAGCCAGAGAAGAAGGAAAACGTCTAAAGACACCTGCAAACAGTGGTGGATAAGGTCCGAAATGGTAACACCAAAATCCTCATGGCGCGATATGAATCCCAGCTAAGCTGGGAGGAGACAACTCAGAAAGATAATTCAACATAGGTAGGGAGGCTCTCGGCGAAATGAATTGAACTGGAGCACCATTTACAGAATTCTGAGCTTTCAATGGTTTGGTGACCACAGACAACGCGTAAAAACGCAATAATATATATATATATATATATATATATATATATATATATATAGAGAGAGAGAGAGAGAGAGAGAGAGAGAGATGGAAATAAATAAATTTTAAAAGCTGAACAGAACACAATTCACCTCAAAAGTGTTCAAGAAAGTGGACATGAGAGCTGGTGGACATGAAGTCAAGAAGGAGAGAAGGTGTGACTTCAGACTATATTCTGGCGTAAGGAACCTTCAAGATCAAGCTGAAAGCCTTAAGAACAACTAGGCAATGATCCTAATCCAAGTTGAACACTCAGCAACTGAAGGATGAAACTACAAAGGACAACTTCAGTGCAGCCATCGGATCGAAATCGGAGACACTATGTGGCATCACTGAGGAAACTTGCTTGGAAGCCGACGTTCAAGGAAACGTGTACAACTGTTATGGGAAGAGGTAATTTTCAAGACAAGGAAAGGCTCTTCACGGACACCTGGAAGTAAATGGAATAGAGGACAATCGTAAAACTGAAGATGAACCGATGCAATCAACAGAAGGAGAACATGAGTTCAGTTTACATCGTAGTGAATAGGATTGGTTGAAAAGACAAAATACAATTCTACGACACACAGGAAACTGAAGCAGAATAGGCCTTTAGGAAAACAGACCTCAGAAAATCACATCATTATCCGGGTGGAGATCAACACAGATGAAAGCAACGGAAGGCAGTCAAGGAAAGTTAATTAACTCCTGAACTGACGATTACCTAAAACTAGTGGATAAATATCATCAAAAGTCAGAGAACGGTCAGTAAACACCAGTCCTCCAACAAAAGCAGAATTCTTGAACGCAATAAAGCTACTGAAAACCAAGAAGGCAGCAGAACCAGACGGAATCCCTCCTGAAGCACTGAAATAGGATTCAGAAACCTCAGCAGATATTCCCACGTCATTAGTTCAAGACATTTGGAAGAAAAGAAAGGTAGCTACTGATTGGAAGAAAGGTTATCTGATACAAATACAAAAGATGTGCGACTTGAAGAATTGCAAACCTAGCGTGGAATCGGGTTGCTGTCCACGCCAAGCAAAATATTAATCCACGTCATCCTGGAAGAAATGAAAGATGCTCTGGATGCTCTGGAAAGGTAAACCAGGTGTTCTTTTCTTCCACTTAGCTCTAATACTTTGTCCCATTAGAAATCGCTTAAACCAGGTGTTCATCAGAATATAGAGCTACACATTATCATTGAACAGAGCATAGAACGTTAGTCAAATCTGTAACTTAACTTCATTAACTTTGCAAAGACCTTCGAAAACACTGATAGCGAAGTAATCTGGAGGCTGCTACAACACTTCGGAGTACAGTGCATCAAACATTTACCAATCAGATTCAACAGCTACATGACAGTATCACCTGTCAGTTGGTTCGTAACAGAAAACTCACTGATGTATTTGAAGTCGGGACAGGAGTAAGACAAGGCTGCCAACTAACATCGATGATATTCCTTATTGTGGTTGGCTAGATCATGTAACGTGCAGTGGGCAGCAAGATGATAGGAATCAGTTAGGCTGTAGAGAGAACTATAGTAGATTTGGACTTCGCTGACAATCCATGTCTAACTTCATACAAACTCGAAGACTCACATGAGAAAACTAGTAAGTTGTTAGAAGAGACAGGCAGCCAAGAGGTAGTCTCAAGAGAATCCATAGAGGAAAGAGGTGATGAAGATACCTAACCAAAACCAACAAGCAGCTATCACTGAAGAAACCAGAGATAAATCGCTTCTTCTTATCTACGCAAGATTACTTCAACTAAAGGCGACAGAGATGAAGACGGCAAAACCAGAAACGATAAGGTAAAACAGACCTTTAATAAACTGAATTCAGTGTGGGAACCTGTTACAATCGACATGAGGAACAAGATTAAGATTTTCACCACTAATGTCAAGCGACTAATTCCGTGTAGTTCATACACTTGGCATGTCATCGATAGCAATTCACAGAGGCTTCAGAACTCATCAACGGTTGCATTCGCCGAATATAAACCAAAAATAAGATGGCCAGGAGGGAGAAGCAACAAGGAACAATATCAAGGAAGCTGCCAAAAGCCTATTGCCAGACAAATATGCAGAAGAAAATGGAGATGGACTGGGCACACACTGTTGAGACCTCTGAGTGACATCCCATGCAAGAGGAGCCCTCAGGTGGAACCCGTGCGGCAAATGATGAGTTGGGCGTCTGTGGTTTTCACAGACGAGATGATATGATGAGTAGATGAGAGCTTGCTGGTTACCAAGGTCACATCTAAAGAGGTTGGCGGAAAGTAGGATGACATGGGAATGTTCAGCTGAAGCCCTAAACTCCACCTATACCTAATAAAATAAAAATACGTAATTATTCAGTTTATTGGGTTAGGTTTTGTAAACTCAGTCGAATTGAGGAACTATGTATACCATCACATTTATCATGGAACTCCGTTTATGTTCCAAAGAATCATCTTCTCCCTACATACTACAGAAATCTTGAAACCTGATAAAACTATTCAAGGCACAATCCATCCCATGGGACAGACATTTTGAACAACTGATGGATTACTGTACCTATTTTAGCAAGTGCCAATTAAAATATGCTTCCTTGAAACTCATACCAGAAGAGTTTACGAGGTGAGAAATATCTGTAAGATCATCATGATCAAGTTCATATGAACCACTGAAATTGCCCAAAGTGTTTCAATATTTCTGTGGATTGACGACTACCTCCTCATATGTCCCTTCGTTCACAGTGCTGTGGCCCTCTGGTTTAATGAATATTCAAACTATGACTTCGAAGCAAACAAATGTAAAGGGAACAGAAAATGCGCAAATTACAAACAGGTAAGTCAGTTTTGAGTGGATTGAACTGATAAATAAAATTCACACTGACACATGTAGAAGTAAAACTCTGTAGTGTTTGAAACAGTTAGAAGTGAATGACATTGTCACGCTCACCACGCGACACTTGAACTCATGCAAGAAATTGGCGAGTATCGTCTTGTCAGACTATCGGCACCTTTCTTGTAAACAACTCACGCTTTCCATCTTATTAGACGGGAAGAGAAGCAGTTATAAATGACTTTATGCTCTGTAGACTAAATATAAAATTTCTATGATACGTTATTTAGCACGCATTCTATGTGGTGTAAAATGCGTTAGGCATGAGACTGATGATTTACCGAGAGACGCCTTGTTAACTACTTTTTTAATCCTTATTTCATAAGAATACTGTTGTCACTATTTTCACTGAACTATAATGCTGCATTGAATTCCCGATTGACATTATTAGGAATGTAAATGTCCTCTTAATTGTTTCCCTCGTTAAATGTGATGTAAAGAAGAAATTATATGCAATATTCCATTACCTGGTGAAAATTCAATCTGATATCAAAAGTACTGTCTGGAATAAAGCCATTACCATTATTCGCAGCATGACCAAACGTTAGAGATTTGATTATGAACCATATTGGATGGAGATAAATACCGCAACAGATGTCAGCATGCCTCATTCAGTTTGAAGGTTTCGTGGAGGTAAGTGGAACGTATATCTTTGAAGTTGAATGACAAAAATGAGATTAAGGAGACGCTAACCATTAGCTAAAAATCCGAAAGCTGGCTGAGATATTTCCACAAAGATTACAGTCAATAATTTCTAGTTTACCCCTCTTTTAGAAACTGGGACTCCGTGAACAGGAAAGACACTCGAGAAAAAGCATCTCACCATGTCGCGTAGTTAGCGGAGTATAATTTAGAAACTCAATCATCACCATTACATTAAACGAGACGTGCAGTATAGACTGAACAGAACAGACAGATTTAAACATTTGCACACAATGAATGACCGATATTGTGATAGAACAAAACATAGCACCTCATGAGAGAGGTTTTGGCAGAGTAAATCGAGGCTTTTTTTAAATATATTTGTGCGCTGAAGTTTCTGTAGCGCCCCAGCCCTCCCTCTTTATCCGGGCTTGAGACCGGCTAGAAAACTAGCAAGTTAGTAATCTAGGCGAGTCACAAAGAATATTTCCAACAGCCTGTTGCAGACCTTGACCAACAACTGTCTTCGCCGGATCTATACTGAAGATCAGATGGCCGGGTCGGAAAGAATCACCAACAAGAAACTATGGGAACAAACAAAACAAAAACCAATCGCTGAACAAATATGCAGGAGAAAGTGGAGATGGGTTGGACACTCGCTGAGGAGGCCGCTGGGTGACATCGAGCGCGCGTCAGGCCATTGCTCGAGTGGAACCCGAAAGGGAAGTGGTGAGTGGGACGTTAGTGCCTGGGTAACATGGAGGAGATCGTGTGAAGAGGAGTTGAAACAGTATGGACTAACATGGATGCAGGCTAAAAGTACAGCAGAAGACAGAAGAAAGTGGAGACATGCAGTTGAAGCCCTGTGTTCCACTAGGAACCCATGGGAACAATAATAATAATAAAATCGAGGCTTTCATTCGTTGCATGTCATCATTCACACTGAGGAAGTTATCTACGCTGGTGACAATAATTAAGAGTGCGTAGTAACACGAGACAGCCATCACAGCTTCCATTCGAATTAGTAGTAGATTCGTTTTATGAATTTGTTCATCATACGTTCAGTCTTTAAATTCTTTCCATAGAAGATTGAACTGAATCAGTTTCGGAGCAGAGAGATAGACTTCTTCTGTTTTTGCTACATTCGCTAAGAAGGCTTTATGAGCTTATGAAATTTTGCCTTTATCGTTAAATCTGTGTTATTTGTTGCTCAGCGCTTCCAACTTATCGGCACGGATTTTCTTGTGTACTGTTAAAATCAGGATTTGTTTCAAGCGTACCACTTAACTGGCGATCGGTTCTGTGAATAAGTATCGACTAAAGGTAACTGTAAACTAACAGCTTTTCCGCTTGTTTCATCTTATCATTCTTATGACTTATTTTACAGTAACTAATCAATGTTATGAGGCTAAATAAACTCACTTAAGTTTTCTTCTTATCATGCCAATACTTTACAGTTAGTGTTCTCTGAGACAACACAGGTTGGGTGTGCATACAAGAGATGTGATAACTTCAAAGCACCAAATGATATTGTTGTTGTGTGCAGTTACGGACCCGGGTATGTTGTTTCATTTCAGGGAATAATTTGTGTTCATACGTTCATTTTTTTGTAAATGTGATTGCAATTTTCACAGATTTATGAAATTTTTATTTTGAAATGAATGAAGTAAGGCGAAACAGTGGGAAATATCCCAGTAATGTAATAAAAGATTGTGCTGCATACGTTCATGAGGGTTAATTGTTGAAATTCGAATGCCATGGCAATCGAATGAGATATACGACAGATTGGGACTACAAATTTACGTGGTGTATAGTTTGTAAGTGCTGATTCGTCTGTGTTTGACGGAAGGAAATTAGTTAATATCTTAAGTTCCATTAAATCGAATACATTTATCCCGGTGAGTGCGTACTGATGAAGAGTCCCGAACTAGGACGAAACAGCCGTCCAGTACTCCAAGGTTCTCCAATGGTTCTCTACCTAATATCACGTCATGGTGAAATCCTGTAAACCAATCAAATCCCTACAAACCAACACATGAAAGACATTTCTGATTATATCACCTTAAGTATTCATGTATTCAAATAATAGAGGATATTTGTAGCTCAGTTGGATGATTTGCAATTAGTTGTGTTCGCCGAGCTGGTTGGTTTATTTGTGGAGCTTTCATCTTCCCTGTAGACAACATCTCCAGCTCAAGTTTTAGCATAGAATGAACTGATTTAAATTCTCCATGAATGATAGAATCGGCATCAATTGTAATAATGATCAGCACAGATGTAAATCGACTACCAGTCACGAAGAAGTTTGCCAGAAGACACAATTCTATCATTCATGGAGAATTTAAATCAATTCATTTTATGCTAAAACTTGCGCTGCAGATGTTGTTCAGAAGGATGACGAAAGTTCCACAATTAAACCAACCAGCACAGCGAACACAACCAATTGCAATATGTGCATTCAAATTGACTTCAAATAATTATTGGATCACAAATGCCATTGAATAACAGCTCTTGTCATTCATCTCTGGGTTGGTTCAGTTTTTACTCATTTTCTGCCAAGAAGCACTGAACAACCAAGTTGAAATTTCGCGCTTTTAACCTTTATCTCTTTCATGACATTTGTTGAGTGAGACATGGTATATTTCGCAAAGCGTCATCTAATTTCACATGACTTCGTCAGCTCACCTACTCACCTTTCATGATTACAGTGCATCGTTGATTGTTAGTGCTATCAGGAGATATTGACTCACCCTCTTCCACATTCGCGTTTATTTACCTGCATTCCCACAATACCTCGATGTCTTTTTAACTACACTTATTGATAGTGCAGTAAAACGAGTGAATATTTCATAGATGTAATAAGGAAACTTTTCAATGACTTTGGAGTATTATTGAATTGAATTGAATTTTTGATTTTCCCGTCGATTGGTTGGACCGAAGTGCTCGGTCTCAGGTTGACATGTCGGCTTCTTGTGCAGATGCTTCGACGATGTCTGCGCATTTAGTTAGTATACAATTAGTGGATGTTGGCTTGCAGTGAAATCCAGGATGCGCATTTCGGGAAAATCAAAAATTCAATTCAATAATTAATATGACCCGTTGCACAAGAGGTGGCTCTCGTGGCCCAAGTGGTCTAGTGGATAATGATTTGGCGTTTGAAACTATGGGCACTGGGTTCGAGCCTCGGTGGGAACATCATCGCTGACTGAGAAGTGCAGGTACATCCAGATGACGACTCCCAAATAGGACGAAATGCGCATTCTGGATTCCAGTGCTAGCCACCATCCACCAATTGTAGAATTTGGAGTATACTTTCACAATTTAAAAAAATCCTTTTGCGAAGACTAGGACGTGAAAACCCCATCCTATAATCTTCATTTTGACACGAATCAACTGAGCGAATGAAGACTGTGAACAGTGGAGGTAGGGTGGCATATCGAAGTGAAGAATGACGTGGTGAACACATTACTGTTTAAATAAAGCCAATAAAGTTCAACTGACAAGTAGGCTATCCGTCATCTCACTTATATCAGTTTAAGTACATCTGTACGGAAATGCTTTCGAAATCGAACTGCATCCTACAGCAGTGAATCGATAGACACACATGAATACATAAATCATATGAAAGAAAAAATTAGCCATATATATATATATATATATATATATATATATATATAGTCATACAACAATTATGCATCAGAACAGTCTATCCATCGACAATTAGCCCATCATAGGCGAAGGCTCCGTTCTTCGTAGTATGATATATTGCAGAGAAATCAAGCACTTGGAAAACCTGGGCGATTATTAGTGACTTACTCGGAGAAAAAACCTCAGTATTAGGGTAAACACAAAGTCACTTCATTCCAATGGCTGAGAATTAAAAAAATTATACAAGCTCAGTGGTGATTTGCGATTTAAAATAGAAATTCAAACAGAAAAGGTAAACATCGCTTTATTAATGCAAAATAGACTGTCAAATATTCGTAGTATAATAAATCTTTAACCTTGTTTCTAGTGGTGAATACTTCTCACGAAGACCCTACACAGCTTCCATTGATCCACAGGATGAAGAGGATGTGTTTTATGAATTTTGATGTATTTCACACATGGATGTAATTTCTTTAGAGATAAACAGGACTTGTTTCAGTTTGTAAGTTTCAAATAAATAATTTCACTCCAATCTGACTAGTTTTCCTCGTATTGGTTTGTCTGTATTTGATGTCAGTGAAGTCGTCATCACACGACAGGACAGACTAGCGATTTATGAACTGCATTCACATTGATAAAAACATATAGTTGGAGACTTTATAAGGAACTAGTTGTCAGGAGATATTCTCAGTTTAATGATGATATCCATCAAAGTATACTTATGAATGGAATTAAAACAAAATTTAAATTAAACGGTTAGAAGTTATCATCGTGTTTATCTTCTCAAGTAGAGCTAGTATCATATTTCGATGAATAATTATTTAGAATTTTAACTGTAGGTTTGCAGGGAAATGATCTGATTGCTTACAGGATTTCATCATCAGCAGACAAAAGTTAGAGGACAGATACTAGCCGATCGTGATCGTGATATATCGTAAATTGGCTGAAGATGGAATTCGGGGGTCATTCAATCGGGTCCAAGTGGCTGGATATTCTACGAGCTCGAATTCAAAACCGCTAGGTCCTGGGTTCGAGACCGGTGGACACGTATTGCCAAAGAAACCCAAAATAAGGCGAAATAGCTGACAGTCCAGTACTCCCTGAAGGTTTCCCAATGTTTCTCTAATCGATGTTAGCTCACGATGAAATCTTGTGACTTATTTGGACCACTTGTGGAGGATCAAATATCAAGCAGTTCATAACATAACACGAGTAAGGCAGATTTGCCCACTATCACCGATGACCAGCCTGATTGTTGGAAAGAAGGAGGCAGACATGCATCGGAAAGATGAAAAGCTTCTCAAATATTTGTGATTTTAGCATGAGTTATATCTCATTTCTCACAAATCGGAGATTTACAAGGCAAAATCAGCTGGTTGTCAGATAAAGTAGTGAAGAAAAAACCCTATGTAAATCTATAAAAGACAGGGTGGATGAAAGTATCCAACTCAAAAATTCATTGCCATTGATGGCAGAAATCTGAATCTCCTCAGAATCGTCAGTGGAGGACATCATCTCCAACTTCTGAAATGATATTTAGACTAGTGCCTGTTTGTATTCTATCGCACAGAACCTGTTCAAACTCAGTTACATTCCACTTGATATACTTTCTCGGTGAATTGATCTTTGCAATATACCGTTTGTTTTCCATTTTACACTGACATTTTTGGAAGTGGGATTTTACATTCACCCCATACTATGTAGTGGAATTATGTTTTTATGGCCTTCATCAAGGATTTCTAATAAATCAGATGCATGATATGGAACACAACATAGGACGAAGTCATCAGCAACATAAATGGTATCTACTATCATCGTTTGCATAATTCGGCTTTTTGCTCAGTAGATTTATCCCTGATATCTTATGACTCAACTCACAACAGAGCAAGTAAGGTTCACTGTCTCCAATAAATAGCCTAACAGCACTTTGTAAATAACGTCGTGATATCCGGTAACTTCAATACCTCAACCCATGATGTCCCGTTGTTCACACATATGACGAATGATGTTTGGTATGTAATGATTCCATTAATAGAATTGTTAACAGTAATCCCTTCTCAAGAAATATCAGACGCTAGGATTGTTCATCATAACCCAACCACGATGACAAAGAAGTCCAAAGTAAAGACAAGGAGTTCGACCAAGCTGAGAGCTGTGTTGGGCGGATAAATTGACCGAAAAATGAATATTCCTTTCCATGAATTCTCTTTAGTTTCTCTTAGTTACAAAATACGTTATCCTTCGCTGCAATAATAGTGAGTAATGTGGTGGATATCAGCCTACGTAGTATAAGGTGACAAAATAATTAGTGTTTGTGTGACAATCGTGCTGAGCTGAACGCAATTAAAATATAATGTTGAATGTAGGACTACAATTATGATGTATGAGAATATATCCATAAGATTTGCGAAGGAGTATACAGAAGCTAGTTCAGGATTGTAAAACGTGTCTAGTGGGCAAGTAGTACTAACAGGTATGCTGTAAATAGGAGATAGGAAGACTGTGGTGAATAGTTCATCATGAAGTAATCAGCATAAGAAATGAAAGATATGGAGTCATGAATTGAGAAAAGGGATACTGTCGCTAATATGGGATGAGATTAGTGTAAATGGGAAATTCGATAGTACTGAAAGAATGCTTGAGTGCTGAGCATGAATTATACAATGTGGTAATTAAAACTGTTGGACTTGAAGGAGGAATGTGAACACTTAGGAAAATAAAATGGAATAATAATATAGGAGACTGTTAAAGGGAACAATTACACATCATTCAAATATGACGACAGCAGGAACAAGGCATGAATATTAATTTTGATGTACTTCTAACTCCATTTCATCTAGAACGTCGAAAAACGAGATGACGATACTAATCGTTGTGAAATAAGATCAATACGCAAATGTGCATCAGAAAACTTGAATCGCCGCCTTTCCACACGGCACACTCAACCTTACTGAATATTCTGGCTACCATTTACAACCAGTTAACAATGAAGGACTGTATCAGCGTACCGATGAACTTATGTCAAGGCACCATACATAAGCTGGCATATTGCGAATTCGAAAACTCCTCCACCCACAATAAGAGTGTAATGAGAATTCAAAGGACATAATCATGATAATCGATTAGGATAGGATATGATTAAATGAAGTGTCTCTATTTCCGACATATGAATGCCACTTAGACAATAACCAGCTGATCTTCAGCACATTAGGTCTTTATATTAACTCTTTTCCTATCTGTCTTTCAATATTCTTTCATTCGCATTTAACTCACTATACTACTACTTCACACTAGAAAGTAGTATGAGATCATACATATTATTTTACAACAATGACCGTTGATTGCTGGTGAAGTTTAAACCAATTAACGTATTAATACTGCAGTCTAAGTATTGTAATTATTCTCATATGGTTAAAAGTCATCTGCAGTACACCGTTCATTTATACTCACTTCTCTGTTGAACATTATTAATTTGAAACACTTTATTCCTTGTCTTGCATTCCCACTTTGTTTAATCTCATGGTGGATCACTCTTGTCAAAGCTTTGCTGCTTCACTGAAATAGCGAAAAGTGACTGTGCATACAAAGGGCACTCATCCACAGTAAATTCACAATCTGATCATCGTGTACTATGTTTAATTATTTTACTTATAATACAGAACCTTGAATTGGACAAATCCAGTGGGCGTGGATGATACGCATCACTTATTAACAACTCCCATTATCTCCCCAGAATTTGTACGCAGAAACTGCAGCTCGGGTAACTCGAATTACTGAAGTATGTCTCATTTCCATCCACATGTTAATCACCTTAAAAGACGAATCGAAACATTTAACATACTGAACACACACATTTCTCACGAGACTACGTGGTGACGGGGAATCACATACAAATTGAGAACTAGAAGGTGTACAAGAGGTGTAATTGGTGTGGCTGTTCCCTTCAACGTGTTGAAGCAATGTTCATAGCGAAGGCTCAAAACAACGGCTATATCTTAATCATTCAGGTATATTTAAATTTGGAAATTTATAATGGAAAGGAAGGAGGACACATAGAAACAATGAAGATATCGCGACATCTTCTATCTTCTCATTGGATGGACACAGTTCTCTGAGTATTCACCACGCCCAATGAAGTCTTCGGTTTGAAGGTGAAACTCTTCGATTCATTGATCCCTTCGTTGAGAAACGAGGCAAAAAATAATCGTAATGTCAGAATGCACCAATAGTTATGAAATATTTTGAACACTCCTCATTGCAATCCACAGGAAGTGCAATGAAGCAGAGTGTATGTCAGCTGTGAAGAGTGTCGCCAATCCAACGTTACTCTCTCATGATAAATAACAGTAATAACACGGTGCTGACTCACTAATCTGTGTGTTCCATCTCATGTCTGGAATGTTGGCCTAATGCACACGGGTGTTTCCACACACACTCACACACTCTGAACAAATCACACATTCTACAGAACAGTCAGTTTATCTCAGGTATGCGTCAAACATGATCACACAACATCTGAACAGATGCACTTCACACTCTGAGGGAATTTCCACTGTCACGACAATGTTAAATTAGTCACAAACATCAGTTCCTTGATTAGAGAGCTTACTCAGGAGAGTAATTGCAGACGAACAGCTTCTCGCGACCAGTTGTGATGTTTGGACATTTTCGCTGACCACATCCCAAGTATACTGTGCCAGGTTGTGCGAGCTGAAATTCAAAGGAAAACAGGTGGTTCATGAAATCACTGGATAGACGTAATACTGTGAAGTGGTTTATTCAATTGTTGTGCTAGGCGAATCGCCTGAGAGAGAGAATGACAGATGTGAACTCACATTCTTGTAACTGTCACACCTTCCAGGCTGTCTGCATGTGTCGGTTGTTGCATTGTAGTTCATGCTCTCCAACGCCCACGTCATCACTGCACTGAATCAAAGGGGTAATTTGTCGGAAAGTGGTCACACTTACTATCCAATGTCTTCGGAGATGGCGACATTCTGACCGACGGTCTTGTTGGTGTTGTTCGTTCTGTCAGTGGGAGTGGTTCGACTGTTGGTACACTTCTGAGCCCATCGGTCAGCCTGACGCGCCAGTGCAACGTCCCAAATCTTGGATGGAAAGAGAGAGAGAGGTTGGTGAGTGAGTGAGTGGGTGAGTGAACGTGTGTCGAATATATGTCAGTGTTAGCAGAAATCGAGTGTCCGACTTACAAAATCGCTAAGCCTCCCTTGTGGCTGCTGCTGCTTCTGCTGTTGGCCTCCTGTCGGAGGTCGCTGCCAGAATCGGAACGACTTCTTCACGAAATTGTGAGCGAATAAACTCTCGAAGTCGTCATCGGTTAGTTTGACTTTGGCGTGTGCAAGTGAAATGAGCAGAGTGATGTGAACGAGCAGTGAGAGCATTGTTCAGGTGGTCGTCTGTAACTCTGGTGGTTTGTTGTCCAATTTATACCCAGATCATGGTTGGAATTTCCACTTCCACTCGAGTGTGATATCTGTATGTCAATGAGCATAGAATTCTTGTCAGTCAT